GCTGGGATTACAGGCATGAGCCACCACATCTGGCCCAAGTGGGCTAATGTTTTAAACAGATCCTTCTTGTCTGCCCTGTAGGAGGACAAATTGACAGGGGCGGGGGTGGAAGCTGGAGCCCAGAAAGGAGGGGACTGCAGGTGGGAAGTGACAGTGGCCGGACCAGGATGGAGGCCACTGAGGGGTATGAAGCCGTCAGATTTGAAGCTGTTTCAGAGGTGCAAGTGAGAGAATTTCATGAAGGATCACAGGAGGACACAGCAGCAGAGAGGACTCCTTGGTTTTGGATGGAGGAGAGACGAAAGATAGGGAGATTGGGTTCGCGGAGGGTGAGAACCAGGCGCGCTCTCTGGAAATGTTAAGCTGGCAGTGTTTGTAGGACACCACAGGACAGGACACTGAGTGTAAGGGTCTGGCGCTCTCAGGAGAGGGGTGAGCTGGAGATAGTAATGTGAGAGGCACTGAGTCCTGAGAGGGTGATTTGGTGTGGACTGGAGCACAGGTGAGGCAAGGCAGGCCTCGCGGCTGAAACCTTATATCCAGAGCAGTCAGGGCCGCTGCTGGCTGTGGAGTGAGGACGCATATCCCCACTGTCCTGAGATGGGCGGTCTCTGGGACCTGGGAGAATGAGGGGGCATGCTGACAGTCTCATTATAGCTGGACCACCTGTACATACACCCACAAGACCCTCACCCCTAAATCCTCCCCCTACACATATGCACACTTAGTTACTGTGTGGGTGTTGTTGAGCATTTTCCCTGGGGTCCGTGGCTCCCTGGACCGATGTGCCCCAAAGCTGAACTCACCCTTTTCAAGCTTATGGCCCTGCTGCCCACTTCCTCTTTCCCCCACCTTGTGGGTTCTCATGGGGTGGGGGCCTCAGGGCAGGCCCTTGTAAATAAAGTATAAGAAACAGTTGCTTTTTGTCTTTCTTGGGTAGAAGCATCTTGTTGGCAGCGTCACAAAGGGAAATGACCGAGGCAGGCTGCCTGGTGGGGTGCGGGCCCATGGTGGCTTTGCTCAAATTTATCCATGTCGCTACGAAAACGGGACACCTGCTGCCACTGTCCCTCCTTCCTGAGAGAGTCCCCAGGTGGCCATGTCACATGTAATCTCTGCGACATATACGAACGGATGGTACCTGCATCCTTGGGTCGCCTGACATGCCCATGAGTGACACTTAGGACCCTGCCTGGTGCTGGTGTGTGGGCAACGCTGGGCCAATTTGCCCAGGGCTATTCCTGCCACCTCTGCTTTTATTTCACCCTCTAAAGGTGGACGCAATGGAAAGCATGTGGGCAGGAGGTGAGGAAGGAAATTCAGACAAGCTGAGCAGAACGGCCAGGACTGGAATCTTGGGTGCCAACCCGCAAGGTAGGGAAACTGATTTGCATTTCCCAGTAAGTACAGGTCAACACCCAAGAAGGCAGGCAGGAACAGAACCCGGACTGTGACTCCAGGGCTGTGTTACTTTCTGCATCAGAACCAAACCGCGGGTGACCTCCTGTGGCATGCCCATTGTCCCAACTTTACAGATTAGGACACTGCAGCTCCATCTTGCTACCCAAGAGTTCAAACTTTTTCCGGAGGACCTGACTCCCCGGGTTTGGAAATAGTACCACTGTTTCCTAACTGGGTGACCCTGAGCAAGTCGCTTACCCTCTCTTGGCCTTAACTATCTCATCTATAAAATGAGATCACTTAGGACGGGCGTGGTGGCTCATGCCTGTAATCCCAGCACTTTGGGAGGCCGAGGTGGGTGGATCACGAGGTCAGGGGTTTGAGACCAGCCTGGCCAACATGGTGAAACTGTGTCTCTACTAAAAATACAAAAATTAGCTGGGCATGGTGGCGGGTGCCTGTAATCCCAGCTACCTGGGAGGCTGACGAAGGAGAATTTTTTGAACCCAGGAGGCGGAGATTTCAGTGAGCCAAGATGGTGCCACTGTACTCCAGCCTGGGAAACAGGGTGAGACTCCATCTCAAAAAAAAAAAGGCCGGGTGCGGTGGCTCATGCCTGTAATCCCAGCACTTTGGGAGGCTGAGGTGGGCAGATCACAAGGTCAGGAGATCGAGACCATCCTGGTTAACACAGTGAAACTCCATCTCCACTAAAAATACAAAAAATTAGCCAGGCGTGGTGGTGGGCGCCTGTAGTCCCAGCTACTCGGGAGGCTGAGGCAGGAGAATGGCATGAACCCAGGAGGCAGGGCTTGCAGTGAGCCGAGATTACCCCACTGCACTCCAGCCTGGGCGACGGAGCGAGACTCCATCGCAAAAAAAAAGGAGAGCTCCAGTATCTACCCCACAGATGGCTGTTTCCAATTAGATGTAGTAAATGCACACCTTTATAACCCCATAACCCACTGCTTTCTGTATATCAGGTCTCTCTCTGCTGCAGGGTCCCAGCTCTGCCACAATGCTCACAGTGTATCTCAGGCCGTGCCTTTCTTTTCTTTTGTTTTTCTGTTTTTTTGAGATGGAGTCTAACTCTGTTGCCAGGCTGGAGTGCATCCATCAGGCTGGCATGCAGTTTCACCATGTTGGCCAGGATGGTCTCAATCTCTTGACCTCGTGATCCGCCTGTCTTGGCCTCCCAAAGTGCTGGGATTACAGGGTGTGAGGCACCGCGCCTGGCCCCAGGCTGTGCCTTTCACAGCTCAGAGTGGGCCACACAGGACCTCAGGGCTGCAAACTCTTGCACCTTTCAGGTGTTTGCCTCTATCCAGAGGACACAGACATAGGCAGAGACAAAGATATGAGGGGAGGGCCTGCTGCAGTGGCTCACACCTGTAATCCCACCACTTTGGGAGGCCGAGGCAGGAGGATCACTTGAGCCCAGGAGTTCAAGACCAGTCTGGGTAACACAGCAAAATCCCATCTCTACAAAAAGCTGGCAGGAGGATCACTTGAGCCTGGGGGGGTCAAGGCTACAGTGAGCCATGATTGTGCCGCTGCACTCCAGCTTGGCAGACAGAATGAGACCCTGTCTCAAAAAAAAAAAAAAAAACCCACAAAGATATGGGGAACACACGATGTGTGTGTCAGAGCAACACAGGGAACTTCCTTATCCCCCCCCAATATATATACCACCTCCCCGCCTCTCTTTCCCACCTCCATCTATCTCCCCATATTTGTCAGAGAATTCCTCTCAAGGGTAATGCAGTTGAATCTGAGGGGCAGCAAAGCTCAGGGGTGAAGCCACAGGCTCAGGAGGTAAGTTTAAATCACAGTACCACCACTTCCTGGCTGGTTTGCCCCTGGAAAGTGACATCGTCTCTGTGTCTCAGTTCCTTCTTCTGGAAAAGGGGGAGAATAAATTAACAGGTCCACTCCAGAGCTGTTGGGAGGATGTTTGAAAAGCGCTAAGCCTGGCCTGATACCTAAACAGCTCAGCAAGTGTCAGCCAGGATCACTAGCAGTAATATTTAGCTACTGACTGCTTCCTTTTCTCTTTTTTTTTTCTTTTTGAGAGGGAGTCTTAGAATCTGTTGCCCAGGCTGGAGTGCAGTGGTGCAACCTCAGCTCAGTGCAACCTCCGTCTCCTGGTTCAAGCTATCCTCCTGCTTCAGCCTCCCAAGTAGCTGGGACCACAGGTGTGCGCCACCATGCCTGGCTAATTTTGTATTTTTAGTAGAGACGGGGTTTCGCCACGTTGGCCAGGCTGGTCTCGAACTCCTGAGCTCAGGTGATCCACCCGCCTTGGCCTCCCAAAGTGCTGGGATTACAGGTGTGAGCCACCGCGCCTGGCCAATCTTTGTATTTTTAGTAGAGACAGCATTTCACCATGTTGGCCAGGCTGGTCTTGAATTCCCGATGTCAGGTGATTTGCCCGCCTCAGCCTCCCAAACTACTGGGATTACAGGTGTGAGCCACCATGCCTGGCCCCAAAAGATATTTTGGTCAAGCGAGGTCAATTCATTTTAAGAGGCAGAGAAGAGAGCAACAGAGTGAGAAGGAGAAGCTCAGAAAGATTAAAGCAGGAGAACTAAAATGTTCTCCAGTGCCACAACTGGGTGCTCATTTCCATCCAACCTGTTTGCTTTGCGG